TTGCGAAAACAAGGTCAAACAACCTCTATTCAACGAAAGGAGACTGCGACCACACAAAAGGCCACACCATATTGGTCTTCATACCTTCAATATCTTATGATGTTGATAGAATAAACTGAAGAGATGTTTAGATATTGCTAAAATCATTCGGATGAAAATTGTCTTACATGATACTAAGTGTTCGCTCATATAATATGTATATGCACATAAATGAAAATAAAATCCCTCTTGAACCTGATCATAATAAATACATCTATAGCAGTTCTTTTCCATACTTTTGTGGCGAGATAATGTGTAGGACTGTTTTAATCCGCCCGCTATTAATTGTCGTGCTATGTCACACATTTGGTCGAAAGGAAGCCGAAGGATGGTACTATCACTAGGACCAAAAGTATGGCAACAAATAGCCGTATCGCTTTATTGCGCAATAATGTTTTTGCTAAAGAAGAAGCCCTGACAGGCTTTTATTCTTAATGTGTATTTTCCCATAGTCATAGAAAACTTGTTGTTACAGCACATTGGTTAAAACAAAGCATCAATTAAAAAATTAGTCGGTTTCGAGACTATCGGTCGAGCATGGGTGAGGACCCTAGCTTTTTAAGACTAATATAGTAACGTAAGGGCTGTCAAGTAAATTTCCAACAATGAACTTGGTCGAAGGCCTAAAGACACTCTAAGGCATATCTTGCATTTAATCTGAGCTATATTCTTCCTGCGTAACATAAAGTATTAAAAGACTGATAGTACGCTTCCCACAGTTATATGAATAGTCATAACTAGGCGTTTTGAGCGTTAGTAGCCCTGATTCTCAGAAGGTAGTCTCATCAGGGCTGGACCCCATTTTGACATCATCTGGGTCTCGCCAGCATCTCCAACGGGAATCAAGCCTGGTTAGTGCAGCGTATAATGTTGACCTGTTGCTACTATGCCTAGTCGTTCAGAGGGCAGAAGTAAATTTAAAGGTAACCTAGACCCCTCCTATTTCCTATTTTGTAGGGGGATTGCCGATAAAGCTATCACTATCGAATACATCACTTATATGCCAATTGAGTAAGTTTCAGTATACATGGGTATCTTTTTCTCCCTATGCGATCTAGGGTGAATACAACTCTTATTTAATATCTATTGGCAGTATTGTATATTACTCAATTGGGATTTAAGTAGCGTAGTGAAATGCCTTTTCGGCTACCCTAAAATTTGTCTTGAAATTTACTTCTACTCTGTTTTTGACTGGTACTCACGGAAGTATGGCGTAACGGTAACATGTCCAAATAGTACTCCCGCCGGGTGTGCTAATCAGACATAGGCGGTGTAAAAATTGCAACCCTTCCCAGCCTGGATGAAAATACCTTTTGAGAACCATGGCTAAGCATGAACAAGACTATAGAGGTGTGAGAAATTTGAGATCTATTTTCCACTTATGTGTTCACATCAGACACCTTTCTCATCCCATCATTGACCAGCTTCCTCGTTAGAATCAAATATTTATTACAATTGTATTAATTAAGGAAGAGTAAGTAAATTTCTATCAATCTTTTAAGATAACATTGTTATGGAGACTTTAATATAGTATAAAAGTGCATG